ATACACACGGGCAAGCCACGGTGGCTCATGCCTGTAATCCCAGTACTTTGGAAGGCCGAGGCAGGTGGAACACTTGAGGTTAGAAGTTCGAGACCAACGTGGCCAACATGGCAACCCCGTCTCTACTAAAAATACAAAAACTGGCCAGGCGTAGTGATGTGTATCTGTAATTCCAGCTACTGGGGAGGCTGAGACAGGAGAATCACTTGAACCCAGGAGACAGAGGTTGCAGTGAGCTGAGATGGTGCCACTGCACTCCAGCCTGGGCAACAAGAGCAAAACTTCGTCTCAAAAAACAAAAACAAACAAAAAACAGAGGCAGCACAGCCCATGACTACCTTGGGGATACATTTGCAAAAGAGAATGAGACAGACCAACAAATGAGTTCTCCTTGGAGCATGTTATTCAAATCTCAAAATAAGATACAGCTCTCATTTCAAGGTGCATTTATTTCAGTGAGGTTGGGATTTGTAAGGGAAACAAAATGAATACGTTGGTGTGTGGGGACGGGAATTAAAATAAGCAGTGACTTGCTGCCTGCCGACATGAGTATCCTCACATCCGCTGCCTTATTTTTTATTCCGTTCTGGTATGTTTTCTCTTGTGGTGCTTTAAAATATGATAGCTAAGTTAGAAAGAGAGGCCAGAGTAATCCTGGCTTCTGTTCATTAATCTTGTATGACGTAAGTGCTGTTTTACCCACATTACCTCAGTGAATCCCTATGAAGTGGTGCTGTAATTAGCCCCACTGTACAGGTGAAACAACTGAGCCTGAGACAGATAAAATGCTCATGCTGAGTGACCCATCAGCAAGTGCTTGAGCCAAGATGTGGACTGAGTTGGTGGAGCTCAGAGCTGAGCTCGAATCGACTCTGCTCTAATATCTAGGGATGTGCGTAAGCCCCAGTCTCTCCATCCCAGATGGAGCAGGTCGGACCTCCACGCTGCTGAGAGGTACTGGGACTCAGGAGACACCAGGTTAGCTCTGCATCCTTCTGGTCTTCCTGGCATCTCTAGAAACTGGAGGTGGGCAAGGAGGAGGGGGAAAGAGGAGCCAGGAGAACACACAGTCTTAAGTAAGACCTCTTCCCTCTCTTCCTGCCTGGAGTGAAGCCCCTTATGAGTAAGCACCATTGGAAGGATACCAACACAACACAGTGAAGCTAGCCCCGTCATTCCCTACCCAGGCCTCCCAACCCCCAATCATCAAGGGCAAGGACAGAGACAGAAGAGCAGAGGAAGAGTGTGGACATGAAGTCAGACCACATCTTGGGGAATACACCCCTCTCGCCACTCCCAGGTGATGTGGCATTGGATGAGATAGTTAATCTCTCTGAGCCTCAATTTCCTCATCTGTAAATGGGGAAATGACAAGTCCTGCTTCATAGGTTTGCTCTGAGAATTGAGTGAGTCCATGTATGTATGTGAGGGGCTTCTCAGAGTGCCATCACATTGTAGAAGCTGAACACATATTAGTGTCTCTATAAGTACACTGCTGTATGCTCCAGGATGATCTGTGCAATAACTATATTCTATACTATATAACATGCAATCATATGCTGACAACTGAAAACTAAACTTGGTGTAGGGAGCATTCTGGGAATGGTAAGGGCAGGACCCTGTACTCACTCTGTTTTTTATCTCCACAGGGCCAGCTACTGCACAGCCCTGTACCCTCAGCAGGGCCAGGAAAGTTTGTGCAGGAGGCCTGGGATAGACTTCAGTTCCCTGCATCATATCCCAAGCCTTAGCCAGAAAAGGCAGCACCCTTCCACTTTCCGGGAGAAGGGCAGCCATGCCTGAAACACCCCTATTTAATGGGATTATTTCTTCTCCTGCATAAGTCATATCTCATGGGAATGTTCATTTTCTCTCTGGCAGCTCATCAGCTCATTGGTACAATAATTGTTTCACAATATAATAACCCATGTATTAAATCAGATGAGAACCTCCTTGAAATATTATTGTACTGAACTCTTCCATCACAGGGAGATCAGTTTTAGATCTCACCCAAGGAGATTTTGTTACCAAAGAACCAAAAGCACTTCATTAAAGGTGCTTTCTCCTACAAGAGGAGAGAGGCTATTTTTTATTTTTCTTCTTCTTATTTCATAGACCATAAGGTTATTGTTCTACGAGTTCAATTTCAATAGCACTTACGCAGTTCCTGACCATACCATATCATTTACTTCCTTATTAGAGTTAGTGTTTCCTGCTTTGCCCACACTGCAATATAGGACGGCAGGAGGACAGGACTCTATTTCTTCACTGTTGTTTCCCAATCATCAGGAATGGTGCCTGGCATATAGTAGATGCTCACTAAACATGAATATACAAATGGAAGCACATTTAGAGCACCTTTCTTTTGGAAAGCAACCACAGTCAATACAAAGATGTATCTCATTAGAAATTCATTTCAACCTCTTTTATTTCCTGTTCAATTATTTTCCCCCATTCTCTGTTTGTGCCAATAGATTTTTTTATGAGATCAGAATGTATCTCCAAAAATCAAAATTAAATCATCCACAAGAAGACCACAGCTTTCAAAGCATACCAGAACTCCCGGCCCTAAAATGATTTAGGGAACATGGCACTCACAACAAGGAGGCTCAGCTCCAGTAACTTTCCTGGGGCACGCTCTGCTCACTGCAGGGGAGGATGTCTCCACCACAGTCACAAGGGAGCCCTTCCACCGCTAAGGCGCACGGGGGACCAAGAGAGAATGGACACTGGCAGAGAGTGCAGATTAATGAAGTGTGAGGACAGAAAGTAATTTCCTTTAAACTCCCATTCCTCGGATGGGAAAACTGAGGATCCAAAAAAGCAAAGGGGTTGTTCAAGTGCACAGGGTAATTAAGCACTGCCAAGTGAAGAAGGCAGATCCCGCCTCTCCCCTCGTCCACTGATTTCCCTGTGTGTGCATGGATATATGTTTGAACTCACAGCAACAGGATATTTTAAAAGGAGTCCCAGTTAACAACTCATCCATAATTTCGACTCAGGGATGCTGCTGATAGAATTTTACTAGCTTCCCTGTCCACCCCAATGATCAAGATCCTAAATTTCCCATTAATGACTCAAAAGCCTTAAAGACTTTCTGAGCTAAAAGATTCTTAGAGATCATCTATCCAAATCTTTATCTTATCAATGAAAAACAAGGGGCTGAGTGAAGAAAAGTGAGCTCCCAGGTCACAAAGCCAGTTAACAGTGAAGCTGCAGTGGCTGGAGCCGCTGGCACCCGGGCACATGTAAGTTACACTGAGGACACGTCTCAGATTTGCGTGTAGCTCTACTAGCCTCATCAGGATAAGCAGAAAATGAGGAATCAGGATACCGTAAGCAAAAACCCAGTCTAAACAAGCATATCTCAGGTCCAGAAAGAAAACTTTTCCTTAGAGCAAGAGAATATAATTTTAATGAGAAAAGTAATAGCAAAAGAAATATTTTTAGGATATGGACACATACACACATGCACGCATGCAGACGTGTGTATGTGCATATAATACAGAGATTACCACACACACTACATTCGGACGATGCTTATATTTTAAAAATACTTGATAGTAAGTATATAATAAATTTACAGTGCTAGCAATGGCATCAAAATGGATTACTAGTGGAAGCTTATCTTGACATAACATTTTTTAAAGTTATCCACCAATGTCTGCACAAAAGAAAATACACATGTTCTTTGAGCCAGCAATCCCCCTTCCAAGAATATGGAACTATTGATAGGTATAGAATTATACAAATATATGGATAACTAGTGTTTATTAAACCATTGTTTCTAGCAGCAATAAAAGGAAAAGTAAACATTCAGGTAGTCTATCATTAGGGTTATATACTGAATAGACTGTGATACAAACAAATTATGGAATTTTATGCAACTGTTATAAAACGAGTTATCACAGGGCTGAAGCGATGTCCATCATGATGAGTTAGAAAGCCAAATTGTGGTGCAGTGTCATTATTTGATACAATTTCTCAATACAACACCACCATCTCTAAAATACCATGATGCATGCACATCCATGTTTGTTGTGGTGGAATGAGCATGAAAAGAAGATGTGAAGGCCTGGGAACCCTTGGTGTCTAAAGGAGTGACAGATGCAAGGGGGAAAAATGATCAATGGGTTCTTCACATATCTTTGTTTTCACTGATTACAATGCATGCATATGACTTTTTAAATAATTAACCTAAGCCAAAAATCCTAAAAATAAAGACAGAAGAAACCCACAGACAGTCCTCCAGGCTCTGTTTAGCCACCCTTCTTCTGTAGTAGACCCAATAATAGCAGGAATACTCTGAATTAAGAGAAAAAAATGAAATCAACACAGCAATGAGAAACTTGAAGTTGTCTCTCTAAGCCCTGGGCTGCCATGACTATCTGGTCAAGTTACTTTCCCCACTAAAGTGTTCTAATCCTGGTCTGGGAAGTTCCCTGTACAGCACAGCCCAGCAACACTCTCTCCTTAACACAGAAAGGACCTCAGTCTCCTGCAAGGTAAGAGATGACTCAAGAAGCTTCATCACTCCCTGCCCTCCAAAGAACCTTGTACCTATAAATAGATCATGCAGAACCCACTTTTCGGAAGAAGACCAATGCTAACTCTGGCAGGCAGGCCTCTGGGGTGCCTGAGCCAGCCACTTGGAATGTTGGCTTTACCCTCATGGGCTTCTTAATCCAGTCCTGACTCTAAGGTCCTGAATGGAAAGTGACAGAACCATGAACATAAAGGCCCTGGCTGTGACAGTGGTGACCACTGGGCTTTAACAATGATAAAACTGTTATTACCTGAAGCATGAACTGTGCCAACCCTTCGGGGCTAGTGCTCCAAAGAGAGCTGCCACCATCAAGCTTCTAAAACTCCAAGAGTGTTGTTTGCATTAATATATACAATGTTCTCTGTAGGGAGACAGCCCTCTGGTCCACTGCAAATTCTGTCCTTCAGCCATGACCCAGGAACCAGGAAGGAGATGGAAAGAAAGGCTGACTTACCAAGCCAACTTCTGTTTAAGTACACAGACACAAACACGGGGGGCACTGTGAAGAAATCCACTACAGAATTCACTTCCAGCCAGAACCACAGCTTATCGTTGGCTGCAATAAACTGGGGGAAAGAAGAAACAAGAAAGAGAAAAAAAAAAAACATGAGGAGCATGGTGCCAGCATTCAATGTACACTCTTGTTGTCAAAGAGTAAGTTGTGACTTTCAAGGGGGTCTGGAGGAACAGGTTATGTCCTTCTCATGTCTATACAAAGCACATGTTTTTATGGTCAGATACACAAGTTTTCTAGTGCCCCAGATAGAGCCCTATATAGACTAATTATATGCTATGTTAGTCTTAGAGAAAGATCAGGTTTATTTTTCTGTGGTTTCCAACCACTTCATAGGGAAGATTGGGTGATTTTACCTTTATTAGACTCATTCATGTAAATATAACTGTAAATAAAGCACATATGTATGCATTTACACACACACATGCGCGTACAATTCTATCTACTCTTCACCCCTTTCATTCACACTCACAACTACTCTCCCAGGGCTCAGCTAAGTGAACGCTGCTAAACATAATTTTAAGAGCTGAAGAGGTTTTTTTCTATTTAATTTTGTTCTGTTTTGTTTTATTTTTTTGAGATGGAGTCTCGCTCTGTGGCGCAGGCTGGAATGCAATGGCATGATCTCAACTAACTGCAACCTCCGCCTCCTGGGTTCAAGCAGTTCTCCTGCCTCGGCTTCCTGAGTAGTTGGGATTACAGACATGCACCACCATGCCTGGCTAATTTTTGTATTTTTAGTAGAGATGAGATTTCAAAATGTTGGTCAGGCTGGACTCGAACTCCTGACCTCAGGTGATCTACCCACCTCAGCCTCACAAACTGTTGGGATTACAGGCATGAGCCACTGTGCCCGGCCTATTTCTATTTAATTTTTAAGGGAACATGGCATTGTGTGAATAGAGAGATGAGAAACAATCTACCATTTTTTTTCAATCCCAATTTCTCCCCCTTGAAACAAAACTGACGTGAATTCCAGAAAATGCTTAGCTAAGGAGAGGGCTCTCTCCCAGACTGAAAATCAGAATGCAGGTGTGTTGTCTCTCCTGGAAACACTGGGTTTTATCCTGACTGTGAGAGAAGATGCTGATAGGGATGACCCCTGGGTCCCAGACTGAAACACCCCATGTGATACTGAACAATGTTGCACAAACTTACCCGCAAACCAAAGTAGAGAAGGAAGAACACGTTGAAAGCCATGTCGATCTGTAATGTGAAATCTTTGTAGAAATTCTGGCAGGATTCTATTGGGCTATTAGACAGGAAGAAGAAAAAGCGAGTGGTAAATGACAAGCAGTATCATCCAGTTTCCCACGATGCTAAGAAGTGGCAGTGCTCAGGGTAGACGATGAAATGAATATTCATAAAAGAAAACATTTGGTCTTTCTGCCTCCTGAGATCATCAAGCAAGCATTGCCAAGGGGTCTTTCCATTCAACCATTCAAGAACTACTATTCTTTTATTTGTTGTTTTGGGAATTATGATACGTCTATCATTTTTTATCATCATTCAGCAGTTGAACTAAGAATCTAAAGAGGACCATGCAGATACCTTGAAGGAAGGACAAGCAGGAGAGGCCTCCAAATTCTTTAATTTCATATTAACCCTTAAAGAACTGATTTCTTTCTTTGAGAGGATCCATACCAAAGCTAACACACAGTTCCTCTTGCCCTCCAACACATCGGAAGTGAGGCCCGTTTTCAATTAAACACAGTGGTTGTATTTTGGACCTTACAAAAACCATTAGTTGATTAATAAATACAGGGCCCAGGAGCATCTCAAAAAAGCTAAAGAGGAGAGGATCCTGGGTGATGTTCTGGTTAGATTAAGCATGGGCTTTCTGTGCAGGACTTGGATCTGGGAAAAGAAGCGTTGTCCAGCGGGTCAAATTCAGACCACCAAACCAAAATGTTGAAGCAGTACTCTAAGGGTTAATTTTTTTTTTTTTTTTGCATGCATGCATGGTAGTTGACTTGGTGTATGTGTGTTGAGCAGCCAATGCGAATCCCCAGAACACTCGACTTCAAGAGTCGCCAGTTCAAAAGGGTACTACTGTACAAACTGGTACAAGACTTCTGTGTGCTTTCCTGTGTCAAATTGATCAGAGGATCAGTGCATGGAAAGTCCCAAGGTTTGGGCTGGGTGGGAAGCAGGGAAGCTTCATAAACATCTCCAAGCTGTGAATGGAAATCCATATCATATACTGTGATCAATAGGTAAATAGTAACACCCAAGCCAGGAACGTGAAGGTGAGGTGAGGGAAAGGAGATAGAATACCAAGAAAAGCAGAACACTTTCCCCAAAGGGAAGCAACATAGACCTCCTCCCTCCAGGAGAGGGCCAGCTTGAGAAATGCAAGATGAAGGGATTTCCGTGTAGTACCACTTTGGAAATCAGTGATGCAATACCAGTTAGTATAGCTGCACTTCTGCAAGGACAATGCTTGGCTGTTCAACAGGCAAGAATCTGCACAGTAGAGGAACTCAGGGCCCACTCGGAGGCAGGGTGAGTCAGTCTGTGGGAATCTCCGATCATGTTCCATGCACTGGTTTTACCCATTCTTCATCCCTATTACAAGTCAAACATGCCCTGTGTCATCTCCCAAATCCGTGGAAAAGTCTCCAGACAAGCATTAAGAGTAACCTATATTTGCATTCACAAACTAGGCAAACTAAATAAAAAATAACACTGAAAAAGTTCTTTAAAAAAAAAATGCCAGGTTTTCACTAAGGTAGGGAAGTGGGTAGAAAGACAGCATGGAATTTGGTTAGTCCAATGTTGAAAGGAGACACAAGCAAGGAAGCCAAACATCACAGCCTGCTGCGGCCCTAGGCCTCCTCTCTTACACAGGTACTAATTTAGATGCAAAAGGGAAAATCCAGGCTACAGTGAATCGGTGACACTTCTGCAATTCTCACACCAAACAACACCCAAACGTCCATTTGTGTCAGAGTTTCCAGCCACTCTAGTTGCAGTGAAAAATGTACATGAACTAGGTTGACCAGAAATCCTATAGATTCCAGGTTGAAGAGGCAATGCATCTCCATGCCACGCAAGCCACAGGCAGGACACGTTACTAAAGGATAAATGCGTGTGTGTGTGCGTGTGTGTGTGTGTGTAAGAGAATAAGCAGCAAGGATGGGGAGATCTGTAGGTAACTGCTGTACTCAGGTGCTCATTTGTGCCAGTGGGGACTCACTTAGCTGTGATTTATAAATTCATATTCATCAAGATTGATGTATACTCAGTCAAGGGGACAGAAAAAAACACTTGGTTCCCAAGACTATCATGGAAAACTTACTATTGCTTCACCAAGGCCAAAATGTTACTGTTGCCCTCACAGTCATTATGGGTGGAGTTATTGGTGGCATATCTGGGGCCATCGTGAGTTCCCTAGCTCCTACTAATCCTGTGGTTTCTGTAGTTAAGTTGGTGGTAACTTAGAAATACATCTAATTGGAAAAGTATTTGTTAGGCTGTGGTAGAAAATGGAATAGTTGGGGCAGAGATGTGAGCTGAATGCTACAGAGGACATTAGGATTCAACATAAATGGAAACAGGTATTGAGAAGAGAACAAGGAATCGGTTGCAGCGACTTCTCCACTGTTTCTTGCCTTCCTGGTCCTTTCTGTTGTCCCTTCTCATATTGCTCATGTTCAATGGCAATAATGAGAGGGCTTGAAGCTAGAGGATGTGGTGTTGAAAACTGCACCTTAACAACACCCCATAAAACAACATGGTTTACAGAAAACCATGTTGAAGCCATGTGGGACCTTTTCTCTAGTCCTTACAAAAAATTTAGAACTGATTTCATTATTGTTTCATGATTATTCCGTGAGTACTAAACTTAGAGATGAAATACTAAAGGAAGTAAATGATGCTGCTGGTGTGGGTGGCTTTTCGTCTGGCTGAAGCTGGCAGGTAATATGAGCACACCCCAGTAATATGAGGGGGCAGGGGACTGGCAGAGAAGCAGGAAACTCTGGGACAAAAGACACAGGTAGGATGAGTGATCGGGCAATGTATTTTCTATCCCTTTTAGCTATTTCCTGCTTGCCACTAGAGCCCCAGGAGAAATGCTCTGCCTGATTTTTTTCAAGTGGCAGCAGAACTGTTTATCAGATCCCCTCTGAGATAAGTCCTCTGAGTGCCTATAGTTCACGGACTCGCACAATCAGACACCACAGAGTGGAGCTTCCAAAGCGCCATTATTTCATTCCCCAAATGGAAACAATCCATGGAGAAGTTCATTGAACCTTTAAAAAGAGAATATATAATTCAACGACAAAAGAGTTGGCCATATCTACCAGTATTTATTTTCCTCCCAAAGAGACTTTATCTTAATGATTAATGCTCGTTGCGGGATGGAGAATGAAATACATATGCTTCTCCTTTCTTGTGTGAAGTAGAAGGAGTTTCCTTTTCTAGATACACAGAATTTCAAAAGCTAGCAAAGAAATTGTGCAAAAAACAAAAACAAAAGTACATAGGATAGTGACTCTGGATCACATACAAACTTAGATTTCTAGTCTGATGAGGCACATCCACTTCAGAAGGCTTTGCATGGGCATCTGTTGCTAACAGAAAAAAAGTGGAGTTTGATCAACTGAAATAACACTACTTCCGCCTCCAATAGTAGAAAACTGACTTACCCTAAACTGCTATGGGTTAACTAACCACTTGATAATTAGAGCATTCGAGATACTTGGTAAGTGGCAGACTTTTCATTCCTAGGCTCCCATAGTCCATGAAACAAGTGTGATACTAAAACTATAGGCAAATTTAGCATTTTGACCAGGACTCCATGACTGGGCACCTTCAAAAGAGCCTCAGTAAAGAGATGCTTCTTATGGGGTATGGGTTCAGTTGTAGGATAGAGGTTGAAATACAAACTCCTGTTTCCTCTTGGCCATCAAGTAAGTATATCCTCAGCATTTAGATCTCTCTATGGAGGAAAATGAGACTCAGCCAAAGTGGGAAATGTTTCTCTTTCCTCATCTACTTAGTAATAGAATTTTCAAAAAGACCCTTGAGCAGGAAGATCCAACAGATCTTCCTGAAGACTGACTTCAGAACTTGTCTTTCCAGAGCACAAGGCAAGTGAGGGCTATCCAGGTTTTCTTTCAGAGGACAGGAGCTCTAAACATAAAATCTCACTGCTAGCAGTGGTTGCTCTGGGCAACCACTCATCTCCAAGAGGAAAGGATTACCCCTCCCTGCAGCCTCTAAATGTCCCTGGGTTTTCTGCAGTCTGTTTTCCAACCTTCCTGAGTCTGGCTGCCAAACCCTCTGAGGCTATTTCTCCAGGGTAATGGTTCTCAAACTTTGGCATGTGGTTGGAGGGCTTGTTAGAATCTTGCTGTGCTCCATCCCCAGTTTCTGATTTAGTAGGTTTGGGGTAGGAGTCCCAGATTTTGCATTTCTCACAATTTCCCAGCTCATGCAGATGCTGCTCATCTGAGAATGCCACTTTGAGACCCGCCACTCCCAAAAACCTTTCTTGCAACTGCACACTAATTATAGGTATTGCTGCTGGAGAAGATTCTCATTCAGACCTGAACAGAGATAATTCAGTATTTGAGCCTGACCCCAGATAACTAGCTGCATACCACTTAACTAATTGCTGGGATCAAGAGGTTGAACAGACATTTTCTGTTTCAGATGTGAACAACAGGGTAAAAAAAATTAAAAAGATACAGGAAAGTAATTGCAATGCCACTGTGCAAGCTTCACCAGTGGACGTTCCAATTAATAATCAGAGGGTACCTGCTGAGCACATTTTAGATTAAGATTAAAAGGAAAAATAATGAAGTACAGATGGGGAGGGGTTACAGAGACCATCATTAAGAAGGGATAACGAAATGGTAAATAGCTTAAGAATAACAACAACAATAACACACACCCAGGATGATTTGATAGGGAAGGGACTGGCTGAGGAACAAAATAGCATTTTGTGAAATAATTTCCAACATTCAAATTCTCCTCACTCTTGTGGCTAGTCCCTTTTTAAATTGAATGGGGCCCTCTCAATTCCCATCAGGATTATGGACAGGCAGAGTTCAGGCCCACAGTGCCACAGACATGAGTCAATGCAATAAGCCTAATGATTCTAGACTCTTCTAGTCTCACCTCTATAATGTTGCCAGATTAATTTAATTAAAAGATGTTATTCATCCACCATCACGGTCCCCTCCTGTCTCATACATTAGCTCTAAGCCTGGCTAAGAAGAACTTCCAAAACCTAAACTCATC